TGAGTGAGACGTGAACACTGCTACAGCCTTTTGCTCCCCTCACTCCCTTTCGCCCCCCTACTTCCCTCCCTTCCGCCCCCCACCCAGGCCCATCTGAAAATGGTGGTGGTGTGGTGGACCCCCATCGCAGGGGCATGCACGAGTGTCTTGAGACGTCTCAAAGCACTTCTTTTATCGCAGGGGCCTACACGAGTCTTATTTTTTAGTCGACTAAAAAATGGTGGTTGTGGACTGGACCCCCCTCGCAGGGGCCGGCCTGCACGAGCCAGGGTTTTGTTGCCCTCTAGTAACGCTCGCATCATGCGTCATCTCTTTTCCCCCTTCCTTCCCCCACTCAGTCTCATTTGGACATTCTACTGGATGCAGACGTGGTGCTGGTCGACCCCCCTTGCAGGGGGCTGCACGAGCTAGGGATTGCCCCCTTATATGGGTCACAACATGCACGACTGCTCCTCTCCACCACTGCCTCCATCCCTTCCCTCCCCACGCAATCCCATCTGGACATTCTACTGGATGCCGACGTGGTGCTCGTGGATCCCCCTCGCAGGGGTTTGGTTGCTGCTTAGTAAGGTCTGCAACATGCATGTCTGAACCCTTCCCTCCCTTCCCTCCTCCCCAGTCTCATCTGGACATTCTACTGGATGCAGACGTGGTGCTCGTGGACCCTCCTCGCAGGGGACTGCACGAGCCAGGGGTCGGCCCCTGTAAGAGAGTGCCGTCATGTAGTGTAACATGCACTTCTGTTCCCCTCGCCCCCTGCATCTTCCCTCCCTCCGCCCACTCAGTCCCATCTGGACATTCTACTGGATGCAGACGTGGTGCTCGTGGACCCTCCTCGCAGGGGACTGCACGAGCCAGGGGTCGGCCCCTGTAAGAGAGTGCCGTCATGTAGTGTAACATGCACTTCTGTTCCCCTCGCCCCCTGCATCTTCCCTCCCTCCCCCCACGCAGTCCCATCTGGACATTCTACTGGATGCAGACGTGGTGCTCGTGGACCCTCCTCGCAGGGGCCTGCACGAACCAGTGCTGGCTACTCTGCTGCACGCTGCCAGGCATTCCGGCAGGTATGATATCTTTTCTTGTCAGGGTGTGTGCGTGAGAGTGTGTATGCCAGAGTGAGAGACCCTTGCAGGGGCCTGCACGAGCCTGTCTTGGCTGCGCTGCTGCATGCTGCCAGGCATGCCGGCAGGTGAGGCGTCTTGTGTTGTCCCAGTGACTGTGTGTGTGCGTGTTAGTATGTGCGCCTGCGTGTGTAAGAGTGTGAGTGAGGTCCTCGCAGGGGCCTGCACGAGCCAGTGCTGGCTGCGCTGCTGCACGCTGCCAGGCATGCCGGCAGGTAAGGCGTCCCGTGAGTGAATGTTTGTATGTTGGTCTGTGTGTGCATCTGTGCGTCTGAATTTGTGTGAGATACTTGCATGCAGGGGCCTGCATAAGCCAGTCCCGGCTGCTCTGGTGCACGCTGCCATGCATGCCGGCAGGTAGGGTGGGTTCTTGTAAGTTCATAGGTGTGTATGAGTGATTGTGAATGTGTGTGCATGTGCATACCGCATGCTGTGTCAGAATGTGTTGGTGTGCATGCGTGCATTGGTAAAAAAATGGCTGAAGGTAGGCGCATTTGTCTTGGTTTTGCCAAGGATTGAATTTCATTAGCGACTCAAAAATTGCCAAGGGATGCATTCAGAAGGTGCCTCCTGCATGCCCGTCCAACTGCTTTGTGTTTCGTTTTCCAAAGCTCGCTTCTTCGTTTGCTACCTTCATATTCTCACTCTATCTATCCGGTGCTCTTATCCTCCTCTCCTCCTCTGCCTGTCTGCTCGCTGCCCATCTTTGGTTTCTCAGGCTGTCGCAGCAGCAGACAGACAGCCAGTCGAGCAGCAACGTTCCTAGTGAGAAGACAAAGGCTGGCAGCAGCGGCAGCAGCAGTGGTGGGACGAGAACACGTGACGGCTTGACTCTGGTTTACATCAGCTGTGGATGGGACGCGTTTCAGAGGGTGAGAGGGCACGGGCGTAGGGTGGGGAAGGGCGGGGGTGAGGGAGTAGAGGTAGGTTGGCAAGTGTAGGGGCGAGTTACAAGCATGAGATGGCCATGGTCTGACCCTGGTGTGCATCAGCTGCGGATGGGACGCGTTTCAGAGGGTGAGAGGGCAGGGGGGGAGGGTGTAGGCAAAGGCTGGCAGCAGTGGTAGCAGCAGTAATAGTGGTGGGGCGAGAGGTGGTGACGGCCTGACCCTGGTGTGCATCAGCTGCGGATGGGACGCGTTTCAGAGGGTGAGAGGGCAGGGAGGGCAGATTAGTGGGAGGAGTGACACGTTTGAGAAAGAGAGGGTGCTAACACAATTGGGAACCGTGTGCTGTGCTCCTATTGAGTATCTCTCTGCTCGATGCTAGTGCTTTCACTGACTCAAGGACATGATATCTGCTTGGATCATGTGACCCTGCATTCTTTGAGCAGGGTTTAGTCCTGCTCATGGCTACTCCTCCTCATGTGTCCCTCTTATTTCATTCAACCCCTTCAGGACTGCAACAAGCTCACTCAATTCGGCCTCTTCCATGCCTCCCACGCCGCCATCTCTCCGTACCACTCCTGCACCCCATCTTTTCCCCATCCATCGGCGCCCACCATCCACACCTGTCAGGATTGCGACAAGGTCACTCGGGGGACGGTCTCTTCCATCTCTCCCAGTCCTCTGCATTCAACTTCAAAACCTTTTTCCTTAACCTCACCTCCCGCACCCCACCCTACCCTACCGCACCCCACCCCACAGGACTGTGACAAGCTCACCCAAGACGGCCTCTTCCATCTCTCCCATGCATCTGCCTTCAACTTCTTTCCCGGCACCAACAGGTAGGTCGTAACTGTTATGTTGTTGTCACACCAGCAGGTAGGCCTTTACTGTTACGTGTCTCCACATACACTAACAGATACACATGTTACATTGGTACACAACAGTAGGTACACTTTGCAGGTTTCAATCCACTAAAGGTACATTTCTTATGCACATACACTTGCGCACATACACAGTGCTCCCTCACGTGCAATCGGATGGTTACTCCTGCACTGCCTCAGAGGCAGGGAGAGGCAAGTATTGTAACTCAGTGCCTCAGTAAATAAACTTGTACCTTAATCGCTGAGCTGACCCTCCCGTCTTCTTGCTGAATTGGTCCCTTTTGCAGCATCGAGACTCTTGCTGTCTTTACAACGGCAAACTATATTGGTGTTACAACAGCATCGAGAATTCTCAAATGTAATACCAGTAACTAAACTTGTGCCTCAATCGCTGACCCTCCTGTCTTTGACTCTTTGTGCTGAATTGCTCTCTCTTGCAGCATCGAGACTCTTGCTGTCTTTACAACGGCCAAGCCACGCGCGTTGTAGATTGTTCTAAACGGACATATCTGCGCAACTGATGTTGTACACGGTGCAAGGTCATGAAGATGCAGTAGTTTGATTGGATGCCTCAAAAGCAGCCAACCAACCACGTGCCGTGGCTCTGCTGGAAGGAGTGACGTGTGCAGTTGTGAGGTGAGTTTCCTTGTGTTCGTCTTACTAGGTACTCATGATACGAGCTCATGTTTTCATTAGGACAAATGGTTCTGTCTACTTACAATGAAACTCACCTCGATTGTATTGGGCTTGGTAGGCTGGACTGTCTCAAAATTATTGGTAGAGGAACAAAATCCTTCACTTAACATACTTCTTGCCTGGAGTGGCTTAGTCCTTATGTTTTTCGATCCTTGTAGCAAAGATCCTGGTATTGGTTGTAAACCTCTTTGGTTCGACTATCTTGGTTCTAGCAGTGCCCTTCAAGAATCATAACCTATCTTGCTACTTCCTTGAATTTGTGTAACAGATTTGCAACAGCACTTCTTGCAAATGCATGCGCAGCATACCTCATAGGTTATCCAGTCTGTCGTTTAGACCATGAAAGAAGTTTTTCCTATATGATGGCTATAGTATGTTGAACCAGTTTTTCCTAAAAGGTAAATACTCACATATTCCAAAGCTTCTTGAAATCCCCTCCGTTCTTGTCCTGCGCCTCTTGTAACGAGTCACTCTCCCCCCCCCTCTCTCGAGGCGCCTTAGCCGTCCGATCAAGCTACCAGCAGCACCCACGTGAGCCGTCCTATCAAGTTAGTCTCTAGCCACATTGAACAGAACTATTTCCCTCTTTGAGATATTGACAATTCGTCGCCATTGCTGGGAATCCGATATGAGGTTAGCGAATGCTCGTAAAATCCAAGTCGCGGGCCGCGAGCGACGGTACTAGTCATAATATTTTTCCTCATTCGTTTTCCAGCCCCACTACTCGTGGAACGCGTGTGACTGTATCGTCGCCGCGACATTTGAGTTTTGCAGTTTCTCCAATATCAATATAGGCGGACTACATATATACCAGAAAACCAGGAATTACCAGGGAAGTAGGCTCTACCAGGAAACTTGGAGCTGCCAGTAACAGGATGGCGAGTTCCAGTTCGCGCGTTAACGTGGCACACGGGGCAGGAGCATGGCAGCAGGGGCGAGCTAGGCAACAGCAGTCGGAGATTATGAAGCTTCCACTTGTCGACGAATCGTACGTTCTTCTCTCGCTTTGCGTTCCCACCGCCCCTATCCCTCCCTATCTAGCTGTTTTACGCGTCCTTCCGCGTCCCTTCCTACCCTTCAATCAGGGGTCGGCTGAACATGGAGCTGAAGGCCGATGCCTAAACTTCACCCATCACTGCTCCCACCATCCTCCCTCCCCTCTCCCTTCCCCCCCTTCCTCTTACCCCCCTGAATAAGGGGTCGGCTGAACATCGAGCTGCGCCAGTTTTCGAAGCTGAAGAGCTAAGCTTCAAATTATAACTCACTTCCGCCACCACCCCCCCCCCCCCCCCCCCCCCCCCCACTCTCCCCTTTCCCCTCTCCCCTGAATCAGAGGCCGACTGAACACCGAGCTGCACCAGTTCCCGATGCTGAAGGCCTATGTCTAAACTTCACCCATCACTTCCCCACCACCCTTCCTCCTCTCCATACTTCCTCGCACACCCCCTCCGCCCCATTTCCCCCACCACCCTCCCCCTTCCCCCCGTCCATCAGGGGTCGGCTGAACATAGAGCTGCACGGGTATCCAAAGCTGAACGTCTACTTCGTTGACCTCTTCCACACCCTGGTCAACGTAAGTCAACGCCTGGTCAATGCCAGGTCACCGTGAGTCAACGCCTCTTCCACACCCTGGTCAACATGAGTCAATGCCTCGTCAACGTGAGTCCTGGTCTGGTGAGCGTGAGTCAATTATTTTCCCACGCACCTGGTGAGTCGATGTCTCACCCTGGTTAATCATCATCACATTGCAGGCCACCCATCAACCAACCCCAACCCCTCCAAACGCCTTCAAAGCGCTTCTCAGCTGTGCCTTGGCATCACCAGTCGTCAGTCCTCCCCACCCACCATTCTCATCACGTCCTCCCCCATCGACCAATCCCACAACACCCCCCCACCTCCCTCAATACCCCACACCCCCTCCCATTTATCAACTCCACCCCATTCAGGTGCTGGTGAAGCGCTTCTCGCCTGTGCTCGTGGCATCACTGATCGTCAATCCCCACCCACCACCATCATCACGTCCTCTCCCACCAAGCCCAACTCCCTCTCTCCCCCCTTTCAGATGCCTCTGAAGCGCTTCTCAGCGGTGCTCGTGGCGGCGTATGCGGCCCTCTTCGTTACCTTCGCCATCCCCTTCTTGAGGCGCCTAAAAAATCCCCTCCTTCCCCCCTCTACCCCACCAGATGCCTCTGAAGCGCTTCTCAGCGGTGCTCGTGGCGGCCTATGCTGCGCTCTTTGTTACCTTCGCCATCCCCTTCCTCGCCTTCGTGAGCTCTCTCTCCCTCCCCCTCACTCCCTTCCTTGCCTTGCCTTTGATTTCCCTCTGCATTCCCCCTCACCACTCGTCGCAGCCTATGCCGCCCTTTTCGTTGCCTTCGCCATCCCCTTCCCTGGCCTTTGTGAGCCTCTCATTCTCTCACTCCCCTTTGTGAGCCTCTCATTCTCTCACTCCCCTTTGTGAGCCTCTCATTCTCTCACTCCCCTTTGTGAGCCTCTCATTCTCTCACTCCCCTTTGTGAGCTTCCCCTCCCTCTCCCCCCACTCCCCTCACTGCTCGTGGCGGCCTATGCCGCCCTCTTCATTACCTTTGCCATCCCCTTCCTTGCCTTTGTGTCTCATTCCGCTTTCTCACTCCCCCCCCCCCCTGCGCTCCACTCCCCGCTTTGATTGCTCTCTGTATTCCCCTTCATCGCTCGTTACAGCCAATGCCGCTCTCTTCGTAACCTTTTCCATCCCTTTCCTCGCTTCGTGAAACCTCACCTCACCCCTCACACTCCCCTCTCCGGTTCGCCAGCCCTCTCCCTCTCCCTCCTCCACACTCCCCATCCGTGCCACCCTACTTCCTGCACCCCCCTCCCTTTTTTTTGAGTCGACTAAAAAATGCACTCCCCTCTCACTCCCCACACTCTTATCTTATAGCACTCCCTTTCCCTCTCCTTTCTGGGTGATCCCCCTTTCCCAATCCACCTTCTCTCCCTAACTCTCGTATGGGTTCTCCCTGTCACACACTCCCTTCCTCTTTCTCGTTTCCCTTACCATCTCGATCGGTCGCCCCGCACCCGCTCCACTCCTCCGTGCTATGACCTCCGTGCTTCTCTTCATGCCTTTCAACTCCTCCTCGTGCTCTCACCCCTGCTCATCCCTTCTAACCCATTATCGCCCATTATCACCCATTATCACCCCTTCTCACCCACTCTGATCCCGCTGCACGCTCCTCTCAGTCCCTTTGTACGTCTCTTGACTTTTGAAGCATCTTTCAGAAACGTGTTAGAAAGAGAAGAGCCGAAACATCTTGAGACGTCTCAAAAGCTGCCATCTCTTTGCATTCTCCTCTCAGTGCCATTTTACGTCCCCCCACATGGTACTTCCCATGCCGCTGCCATGCCTGTGCCTCAACTCATCCCTCACATGCACATGCTCCCAGTTTCGATCGAGTGGACGGTCTGGATTGCCTGCCAGGGGTGCAGCCACTGGTGGCTACCCACGTGCACCTCTTGCCCACCTCTCTCTTTTCCTCCCCACTCTCTCTTTTCCTCCCCACTCTCTCTTTTCCTCCCCACTCTCTCTTTTCCTCCCCACTCTCTCTTTTCCTCCCCACTCTCTCTTTTCCTCCCCACTCTCCCCTTCTCCCTCCTCTGCCCGGTATACGCGAGCCGACGGTCTGGATTGCCTGCCAGGGGTGAAGTGACTGGTGTGGTACCTGTATGCACCGCTCACCACCCCCTCCCCCATCTGCTCCCCCCTGCCCTTCTCCGTGCTCCCAGGCTCGAGTGGACGGTCTGGATTGCTTGCCGGGTGTGAAGCGCCTGGATCATGCAGTGTGGTTCACGTGAGTGTAGCTGCTGTGCTAGCGTGCTGGCGTGCTGCTGTGCTGCTGTGCTGCTGTGCTGTTGTGCTGCTGTGCTTCTGTGCTGTTGTGCTGCTGTGCTGCTGTGCTGCTGTGCTGGCCTGCTGGCATGCTGCTGTGCTGCTGTGCTTGCGCGTCCACTTGTGTGTGTGGGACATCCTGTTTGAGGCGTCACACCCATTTTTTGAAGTGCCTCAAAACTAGCCTAAAAAATAGTTTCTGTGCTGGTATGCTTCCGCGTCCACTTCTGTGTGTGTGGGGGACATCCTGTTTGAGGCGGCACGTCTGTTGTCGCGATTGTACGTCATGCACACACGCACACACACACACACACACACACACACACACATCCTCTGCCTCCTTGCCCTTCATCGATCTTCTCCGTATTGTTCCTGTTCCTTGTCCGTCTTTATGCATGCTAATATCCGCTAACTCTTATCTGCGTACTTGTCTATTGTCCCCTCCCCTCTATCTGTTGTCTCTGGTGCTCACTTCTCTCGCCATTTGCCACATCCGTCAATCAACAGCGTGCAATCCTCTATGTCAATCGGTCAGTATTCCTTCTCCCCTCTCCGCTTCATATTATCTTCAGCTTATCTTGTCCATCGTTTCCCACTCAAGTTCTCATTCACGCTCCATCCGCCCCTCACTCATCCTATTCAAGTTCTCATTCACGTCTGCTTTTCAAAAAGCGTCCATGTTGTTTTGAGTCCCTATTGTAAAAGAACAGAATGATAGGTTCTTGACATTCAGTTGCTACTTCAGTGGAGATATGGTGGCAGCCTGGTTGACTGGCGAAGTCAGCAATCACAGAAAATAAACGAAAAGGCAACCACGGCGGGGATCGAACCCGCGACCTTTCGATCCGAAGTCGAACGCGCTAATCCACTGCGCTACGCGGCTGTGATAAAACTACAAAACATTTGACTTCAACGGCTTGACAGATAGTGGCAGCCTCTCTTATCTGACCAGCCGATCTCCTTTCCCTCTCTGCCCCTCCCGAACTCGCTTCCTACAGGGTTTGGTGGCGACCTCACACCCCACCCGGACTGCTTCGTTGTCAACTTCTTTGTTGCTGTCCTCTCTGTGGTCACTCTCGGATTCGCCTACGCCCTGCTCGGTGTCTTCTACGTCAAGTATGTGCTTCCTTCGCATGTTTCCAGAATGCACATCAGCAGTGCACACTGCCTTCTGTTTTATATAAAAACCATGATATTATGATTCCTTGCTGCATTGCTGCAGCGCTCTCTCGTGTCTCGCACGACTTCGTACGGCAATTTTCCAAGCACCTCCACCATTGATTACTAGTCCTCCATGTCTCCACACTGTGGAAAGGACACGCCACACACACCACCACGGAAACCATGCGTCCCCACTCACAGGTTCTCTCGCCCCACCCGCCGTGCTGGCACCATCAAGTTCAGCCAATACATGGTCATGTACGAGGTATGCTGCAGTACTGTGCGGTACAGTGCGGGGTCATGTGGTGTGGTGTGGTGCGGTGCGGTGCGGTATGGCCATGTATGATGTATGGTGCGGTGCGGTATGGCCATGTATGATGTATGGTGCGGTGGTGTTGTGCGGTGTGCTGTGCTGTGGTATGGTATGTTTGTGGTGCATGCATGGATACCTATAAGATGCATCTCCTATGCTTCGTTGCATCACAAGTCCCTTGAAAGCAACACTGCACTTGTGTCTGTCTGCACTCTCTTCTGCTCCACCTCTCTCCCTCCCTGCATCTCTCCTCCTAGGCTCCTCCACATCTCTGCATACCAGCATATCTCCACATCTCTGCATACCAGCATATCTCCACATCTCTGCATACCGCTCTCCACCTCTTGCGTTGCCCACAGGAGTTTGGGCAGCTTCGCATTGCCTTCCGAGTGGCTGATTTCAGGAAGCATCAAATCATATCCGTAAGCATCAAATCGTATCTGTAAGAATCAATCGTATCCATACATAAGATTCAATCATATCCACAAGAATCAACTTGTATCCGTAGGCATAGAAATATATCTTCATAAAATAATTTATGTTCGCATCAAGGCATATCAGTAAGCATGTATGTACATAAGCATCTGTAGGCATTGAAACGGATCATATCATTAAAGCATTGTACAGTCATTTCCCCCCTCGTTTCACATTCCTTATACATTTGTACATTCATTGAAACAGATCATATCATATCACATCCCCCCCCCCCCCCTCCTTTCACCCTCCTTTTATGGTCCATCTCACCAGGCGCACGTGCGCATGCTAGCAGCGCTCAACAACAACATCTTAACTCACGAGGTTGAGGTGCAGGCACAAGCAGGCGTTCAAGTTCTCCCACCTGCTTGTGCCTGCACCTCTATCCACATGCACTCCTTTTTCGTTTTTTCTTGAACCCCCCATTCACCAGGCACACGTGCTCAACGACAACATCTTACCCATGAGGACAAGGCGGTCTTCAAGTTCTCCCACCTGCCTCTCAGCCACCTGCCTATCCACACGCTCACCCTTCCCCCCCCTCTCACCAGGCGCATGTGCACATGCCCGTCCTGTGTGCTCAAAGGCCCACCTTTCCCCCTTCTTCTCGCCAGACGCACGTGCGCATGCTAGCAGCGCTGAACAACAACATCTTAGCCCACGAGGACAAAGCGGTCTTCAAGTTCTCCCACCTCCTCCTGTGGCTGCACCTCTATCTATATGCACTCCCTTTCCCCCTCCCTCCATTCAACAACCCTTCTCACCATCAGGCGCATGTGACAATGCTAGCGGCGCTGAACAACAACATCCTAGCCCACGAGGACGAAGCAGTCTTCAATTCCGCTAAGCTGCCTGCAACCCATTCCCCCTTCTTTCGCCCTCCTTATATGGTCCCTCTTCCACCAGGCACACGTGAGGATGCTAGCAGCCGTGAACAACAACATCCTAGCCCATGAGGACGAAGCCGTGTTCAAGTTCTCCCAGCTGCCTGTCGCCCAGCCACCTGTTACCTCCTGTTCACCTCACACACCCGCCGTTTCCCCCTCCCACCAGGCGCATGTGAGGATGCTAGCAGCCCTGAACAACAACATTCTAGCCCACGAAGACGAAGCGGTCTTTAAGTTCTCCCAGCTGCCTGTGGCTGGCGGCAGTCAGATCTACCTGGGTCTGCCCTGCACTGTCACGCACGCTGTGGCTCATGGGAGCCCCTTATATGGGCTCTCGCACTCGGTAAGATCTCACACTCCATTATGAATTTACAGGTGAGCAAATAAGCAACGTGACAAGGAGTGGGAAATGAATTTCTCCCAGCTGCCTGTGGCTGGCGGCAGTCAGATCTACCTGGGTCTGCCCTGCACTGTCACGCACGCCGTCATGCATGGGAGTCCCCTATATGGCCTCTCCCACTCGGTACGACTACTCCTGGGAGCCCTTTGTATAGACTGTTACTCTCGGTAGAACTACCCATGGAGTGGGAAGTGCGGTTCTCCCAGCTGCCTGTGGCTGGCGGCACTCAGATCTACCTGTGGCTGCCCTGCACTGTCACACACGCCGTCACCCTCGGGAGCCCTTTATATGGCCTATCACGCTCGGTAAGGTCACAATAGAGCAAACTCAGAGCTGCCTGTGGCTGGCGGCAGTCAGATCTACCTGGGGCTGCCCTGCACTGTCACGCATGCTATCACCCACGGGAGCCCATATTCTGCTCTTCAGATGATGGAGCGATCGGACCTCGAGATCCTTGTGCTGCTGGAGGCGGTGCTGGGTGGGTGTGACTTCCCTTCCAGTTACCCGCTCCTCATGATCTGTTGACTTACCCCCACGCTGTGCTCCCTACCCCACCCATCCAGATGATGGAGCGATCAGACCTCGAGATCCTTGTGCTGCTGGAGGCGGTGCTGGGTGGGTGTGACTTCCCTTCCAGTTACCCGCTCCTCATGATCTGTTGACTTACCCCCACGCTGTGCTCCCTACCCCACCCATCCAGATGATGGAGCGATCAGACCTCGAGATCCTTGTGCTGCTGGAGGCGGTGCTGGGTGGGTGTGACTTCCCTTCCAGTTACCCGCTCCTCATGATCTGTTGACTTACCCCCACGCTGTGCTCCCTACCCCACCCATCCAGATGATGGAGCGATCAGACCTCGAGATCCTTGTGCTGCTGGAGGCGGTGCTGGGTGGGTGTGACTTCCCTTCCAGTTACCCGCTCCTCATGATCTGTTGACTTACCCCCACGCTGTGCTCCCTACCCCACCCATCCAGATGATGGAGCGATCAGACCTCGAGATCCTTGTGCTGCTGGAGGCGGTGCTGGGTGGGTGTGACTTCCCTTCCAGTTACCCGCTCCTCATGATCTGTTGACTTACCCCCACGCTGTGCTCCCTACCCCACCCATCCAGATGATGGAGCGATCAGACCTCGAGATCCTTGTGCTGCTGGAGGCGGTGCTGGGTGGGTGTGACTTCCCTTCCAGTTACCCGCTCCTCATGATCTGTTGACTTACCCCCACGCTGTGCTCCCTACCCCACCCATCCAGATGATGGAGCGATCAGACCTCGAGATCCTTGTGCTGCTGGAGGCGGTGCTGGGTGGGTGTGACTTCCCTTCCAGTTACCCGCTCCTCATGATCTGTTGACTTACCCCCACGCTGTGCTCCCCACCCCACCCATCCAGATGATGGAGCGATCAGACCTCGAGATCCTTGTGCTGCTGGAGGCGGTGCTGGGTGGGTGGGTGTGACTTCCCTTCCAGTTACCCGCTCCTCATGATCTGTTGACTTACCCCCACGCTGTGCTCCCTACCCCACCCATCCAGATGATGGAGCGATCAGACCTCGAGATCCTTGTGCTGCTGGAGGCGGTGCTGGGTGGGTGGGTGTGACTTCCCTTCCAGTTACCCGCTCCTCATGATCTGTTGACTTACCCCCACGCTGTGCTCCCCACCCCACCCATCCAGATGATGGAGCGATCAGACCTCGAGATCCTTGTGCTGCTGGAGGCGGTGCTGGGTGGGTGT